GTGCCTTCCATCTGACCACCACTCACTCCTTCGACTTCTTTTTATGTCTTCAACGCAGCCCCAACCCACTACTTTCGACATACTCCCGACGCCATACCATCCCAACTGAGGAAGGCCATCGCCATCAACAATCATCCGAGCATATTGGGCGAACTAGTGCTATATCAGCGGGGCGGGGTTTGACAGTGCGGTAGCCCTTAACGCCACATTTCAATACACCCATACGCACATGGTCCCATGCCAACGATGGTTTAAGACGTCCCGTCGTCTTGCTTTTGGCGAGGTTATAAGCGCGATGTATGTTTTGAGTATAATGTCAAACTGCACGTAAGCGGATGTGGCTATGATAGTCATTCTTCGAGATTAGGTCTCATCGCGGCATAATGGGTTGTGGGGTTTGCAGTCATCCAGCGTTCGTTCAGCTTCAAGTCGCCGACCCCGACGACGACCAAGTTATACTCATTTTGTAGCTCGGGCGCCTATTGAAGGGGCTCATCTTGGGGGCCACCTCATACACCGGACAGGCCTGGGGCCTACATCGACGTTAGGTCACCTACTTTGCATGTTTCCATGATGATGTGCAGACCTATCCAATTTTTCCCAGGCTGATTTACTATCATCAGTTATAGGGAGAATAAGGTCCTTCGCCAAGTCAACTCCAATCTCGCGCTCTAACGTTCGCTACGCATATGGGCCATTCGCACTGGACAACCTCTCCGGTCGCATTATGGCACCACGCGACAGATAAAGAATGCAGCACTCCGGCACAGTCGATAAAACGAGAGGATTTTCGCATGCGAGCGTTTTCTATTGGACCATGGATGAGTTATGCCCAAGCACTCGGTACGGGATAAATACGGCTCCAGGTTCAACATCCAACGGGCGGCTCGCGCCTGCGCTAAGACCAGCCCCAATGGTCGCACAGCCCCGCCCCCACAACAATGATCCTACCGGGAAGGAAATGGCAACCCACAGCTTAACTAAGAGCTAACGTACTTACTATCTGCACGAATTCGGGTATACCGAGAACAGCCTCACATATGGGGATTTTGATCCTGCTCGCTTATGCATGGGGCCAAAACCAAAACCCCGTTTGATTGCGGCGTTATGTGATACCGCGTCCCCGGTATAATCAGCTTACTTACTATAGACTCGCGCCATGGCACGGCAAATGGGAGGCATAACTTGTTACATCGTCGGGCTGTCAATACTCGAATAGTACTCTTCGCCGTACGCAGATGGAGAACCGCATTTTCACGACCAGTGAATGGCACGGTCTTATCGACAGAGCAAGGGAAACGCCATGCTTGCATACAATACGTGGCACAGTTGTCAGCCCCTTGTTGAAGCACTCTTATAATTCCATTATCCTTTTCACCTCACACATTTCCACACAAGCTATGCAAGTCGTACCTGACTTTGTGGTTCGCACTTTCCTTGGTCACCCAGCAACAGCAACAGCAGCGACAACAACGCGCCTGCCTCTCTGGACCCTTAGCGAAACCTCTTGCGCTTTCACTCCTGCACTTCTCTCCCGCTGTTTTTCACTCACCGCACCTCAACTCCACACTTTCGTTGCCAAAGCATGACCATGTCTTCTACTCCTAAGGACGACGCCGTACTGGATAACTCGAGTGCCGAGAAGGCGTCGACAAATACTTCCGCCCCCGATGAAGCTGAGCCGGTGGTAGCGACTGATGAATCGAGGTACATCACAGGCCTGAAGCTCTACCTGATCAATGCTGGTCTCACGATCTCGATCTTCCTCGTTACTCTCGAATCAACCGTCATCAGCACTGCCATTGTGGACATCACCGACGAACTGGGTGGCTATGAGAAGAGCTCATGGCTTTTCACGGCATATATGTTGACCTACTGCAGTAAGCACTTTCTCACCCCCACAGACCGACCACTTCGCTAATCCTGTCCAAGGTCTCCAGATGATCTGGGCAAAGCTCTCAGACATTGCAGGACGGAAATACACTCTCATCGCTTCGCTGCTCATCTTCACCATCTTCTCGGCGCTTTGCGGAGCTAGTCAGACACTCATTCAGCTCATCATGTTCCGATGGTGTCAGGGTATCGGCGGTTGCGGTGTATACGCACTCACTCAACTCATGTTTATGGAAATTGCGCCACCAGGCAAGTTGCCGAAGTACATGGCAGGTGTTAGTATGGTACTCGCACTCAGTCTGATTACGGGACCGCTTCTTGGTGGCGGCATCACCCTGCATGGTAGCTGGCGTTGGATCTTCCTTTTGAAGTATGTACACGTCATTGAAGAACCTTCGTCAACGTACTAACATTGGTATAGCGTTCCTGTCGGAGTTCTTACTGCTATATCACTTTGCTTCACACTTCCGCGAACGCTGTTCAACGAGCCAGCTGCGCAGCAGACACACCCGATCTTCTCGAAACATTCCCTCAGTCGACTTGACTTCCTTGGAGCGACGTTGATGCTCGGCACTCTCGTGTTACTCGCTACAGGTCTCCAACAAGCGTCGCTGGACTATGCATGGTCTTCCAACAAAGTCCTTCCTCTACTCGTCGTTTCCGCGCCTTTCGCCGTCGCGTTCTTCACATGGCAATGGTACATAACACAGCGTCGCACCAACCCTGAGCCCGTCTTTCCGTGGCGCTTCTGTCAGAGCCGCATACAGCTCGGCATGATCATGTAAGTCCACAATTTTGTATCCTCATCATGCATCATACTGATACAGACATCCAGCAATACCTATCTCTCCGGCACAGTAATGTTCGTATGCATTGCGCAAATCCCCCAACGCTTTATCACGGTGAACGGCCTCTCTCCTCTCGCCGCCGCCGCCCGGCTCCTCACATACGGAGCTTTCGTGCCCTTTGGCAGTGGTATCGCTGGTGCGATGATGGGCAAACCCAGGATACCGCCATGCTGGATCATTCTCGGTGGCTCCCTGATGGAGATTCTCGGTATTGCGTTGCTGTCGCAGATCGATACTTCATCGCATATCGATGCTAGTCAGTATGCGTTCCAGATCATTGCCGGAACGGGAACTGGTCTTGTCAACTCGGGACTCATCCTGCTTGTGCCGTACGCGATGGATAAAAGGGATTTGGGTAAGTTGTTCACAACATTCACACACGCATGTGTTCAAGGTTTTCGTTTACTAACGACCACCAGCCGTTGGCTCAGCAGCTACATCGCAGTTCCGCACCCTGGGCGGTCTAGTCGGTATCGCCATCGTTACATCTATCTCCACACCCTACATTCGCTCCCATCTAACCGATATCTTACCCTTGGAGCTTGCCGAGAGCCTGCTAGAAAAGACGGAGTTAGTGCAGACTCTTTCACCGGAAACGTTGGAGCATGTGAGGCAGGTGTTTGGTGAGGCGTATAACCTGCAGGTCAAGGTACTCATCGGGTTTGCGGTCGCCAAGGTGCCGGTCACGGGTATGATGTGGACAAACTTGAGGGTGGAGAGTAAGTGAGCGGGCGAAGATCGGCATGGAGCTTCAGCGATGATGATTATATTTGACGAATACGTCGAAGTGTACATTGTTGCATCCCAACGTCTTAGAAGGCCCCGAAGGTACTCAGTAGCTTCGGATACATAGACCATTGTGGTCAAGACATCACAGCCATTCACTACGTGCGTGCTCTCCCCTAAGTAATTCCAGATATCATCGGAGGCACTCTTTCACTCACAAACCTCCGATCGCTTCGCAAAGATTGCCTTGGCTACGCGCACATGCTGACCTTCTCTTTCCATCAACTCAGTAGACAGTGCTAGCTCGAGTCTGAGCCATCTTCCTCTGCCTCAAAGGCCTCATCGTCATCCTCCTCATCCTCTTCGAAATCCATGTCCTCATCGCTGTCCAAGAGATCGTCGTTGGACAGCGTGAACGCGTCATTCCTAGCCTCCGTTTCCTCAGCCTTCATTCTCTCCAGCTCAATCTCATGAGCCTGTCTCATACGCGCATGCTCATATTCCTGGCGGGCGACGCGTCGCGCCACAACGGCCATGATCGCATCTTCACCGTATTGCGGGCCCAAGGTGCGAAGGATATTGTTAATGTCTTGCTGTGTGATAGGGCCGCCAGTAGGTTCGAAGAGTAGGCGCTTGCATGTTGGACATGTGTTACCGACCTCGAGCCAGGCGTCTAGGCATTGTTGACCGACGATGTGGCCGCAGGCGGCGATTCGTACAGCACGGTGAAGCTTGGACTCCGCGGGTTTACTCTTCGTAGGATGGAGGGCGAGAGGATGGCGACAGATGGTGCAATCTTGCGATGCATGCGCGTGCGACTGTTGGACCTGCTCGAGACCCAGGCTGTTGAACATCTCTTTGCTTGCGAAGACTGTCATTTTGGATTTGAGAGAGCTGAGGTAGTCGCGAGTGTATTATGAGTTGCGGAGGGTTGAGTTCGGTTTCAAGGCGGGTGGTATGTGACAAGGTGAGAGAGAGAATTGTCGCCGGTCGCACCTTCTCGGAATGAAGCAATCGAGGTGAAGTAGTGCACGGTTGTCGCATCGATTTTCTGCGATTGCTACAATGGTCTGAACAAGCGCGGGTGCGTTGGTTTGAGGACTTACATCTCTTGGAATTACATTGTGAGCGTGTCGCATTGGCCAGAACAGTGGGTGTCGCCTATCTACCATGGTTCAGGACAATTCTTTTCACATTACAGTAGATGACTGGTATCTATCAACCGAAACATTGCGTGCAGCCCTCACGGTGTGTGAGTGGGTTAAACAACCCTTTGTAAACGGTAAGGCGCCACGGGATTACGAACATATTTCACTGCATATTTGGAACACAATTGGCTTCTGCGACGACATTGGAGACTAGGGCGTGTATTTGTAGAGACGATTAATAATTAATAATCATTCTACCAAATCTTGAGGGAATGAGTGTACTTCGTGACGCACGTGGCCATCGGCAAAAGCGATGTATTGCATGAGCCTCTCAAACATGCTTTCGTAGTATTCGTCGGTTTCCATGCAGCCTCAACCAACTTCTTCATGTATGCCAGTTGATGGGATGCCGACCGGTAGTGCTTTCAGCAAACTCAATAAGATCTTCTGATATCCATGCCTTCTCTCTCGATCTCCGAAAGGGCTCTGCGTCCATTTGAGCAGCGCGTGTGATGTGGCTTGACAAGCCGAGAACCCTGGCTCTCGCGTGGTGATACGCCAGGAACTCGTCTGAGGATGGAACCAGGTTGATGACATTACGTTCATCTAACATATCGACGTTGTCCAAGTAGACACGGATTGCGGGCGCACCAGGTATAGTCCAGATGTCATCAATCCAGTGCGCTTGTTGTATCTCCTCAACGAGCCGGTCAGCGTTCATGAGCCATGTATCCCGAATAGCAGGCAAAGAGTTCTGCAATGCGCCCATGAACTCGTCAACGCGTATACCGTGATCATTCCTGACCCTAGCGAGCAGTACATTACTGCCACATGGCGTATTTCTGCTAAAGTCATGATGATAGATTCCCAACGCTCGGCAGGGTGGGTGCGTGACATGCATAGACCCAATAGCGTCTAACAAAGCTTTGCTTGCGAGGGAGGAATTGAGTAGAAGTGTTTCCGGGCTGCTTGCCGCTTTCCTTAAGCAAATTTCCCATCTACCAAGTAGATGTTTGCTCTGGTGTTCTTCCGCGAAGAGTGCTTCAAGGTATGGGTTCACCTCGAACTGGCTCAGGTCCAACCAATATATATCTGTCTCACGAGATATACGTACATTGTGGTTCCAAGGAAAGGCCTCGCTGGGCTGGGAAGTGTCCACATGGTTGAGGATCTCTGACAAGTGACTGGGGAGGTCACGCCTCTGAGCACACTTTGCGGGAAAGTAGTAAGCCTTCCTGCCCTTCGATTTGCCCCAGATCTCGTTGATACGTTCGACATCTAATTCGAAACTCTTCATCTCTTCAGAACTGGGCTGGAGGGGTGCCATGACGTCTTCATCGATAAGCTTTCCGTGCTCTGCCGGCATGCAAAGCGGTGATGCCCGGAATGGGACAGCGGTATTGCAACTGCTGATAACGGCCATTACGCTTCTGTGCCAGGGCTTTGATACTCGCAACGCGCGGATCTGCGCCGCAGGTCCTGCGAACTGGAGTATGACGTCTAGTAACTCGGGAATCTGGAACATCCGATGTTCTGTACGGACATAGTCCCGAACACCAAGTTTCACACAGCGAAGAGTTTCTTGTGTGTTTGCCGCCGTGCAGCGGTAGCCGGATATACGTGTCTTCACCTGCCGTTCGACTTGCTGTCTCCATGCTTCGACTGCTGAACGCTCTGTGCAAGAGTAGGGCGGCTCTACCTTCGGGCGTACGTTACAGTTGTCGCGAAGGTCGTTCATGATATTTTGGCTGCCGATTTGTTCGGAAACGGGGCGCTTAGGGTTGTGGTATTGTTTGTAGAGTGATTGAAGTAATAGCATTCGAGGTTCTTTGCTCCATGCGAGTGCCCCCTCCGGCGTAGAGCGGTAACGGAATAAATCAGCCATATCGTGGACTGTATGTGAAATCAGAGCGAGGGTAAAGCGGTACCCCTTCTTATGTACACGCCAGGTATGCAAGCTCAGTACATCTGTCCTTTGTGTGTTCCACGGTCGCTGGTACCGTCGATGAACGGGGCCGACGGCTGCCTTGACGCTAATCAGAAAGCAGCTAGCGTTCCAGCAAACTTTCGGGCCCGCTCACACATGTGCAGCCTCTTGCACAAGGAAAAGACAAGACATCTACCCCCTAGAAGTCTACATTGCTGTAAGGAGTGTTTAAACTCCAACTTATATACTATTATAGATAGTAGAGCACCTGTTCAACCTTTTTCTTTATATGACGTGTCAGCCCTTCCTACGGCACGACGTCACAGCCTCGAGCTTGTCAACGCTTTCACTACCATGACACGTTGCAGTTGACGCGCGAACTACGAGCTTGTATTTTGATTGCATTCCAAGAGGCACACGTGTATGTTATTGTCACAGTGGACGCAGGACTGATCAACCGTGCGAAGACGCAACTTCACGGTTCCCGTTGCATGTCGGAAGGAAGCTTGACGACAGTTATTTGCAGACTTGTAGCCTTTTTGAAGTTATGTGTTGATATTCCACAGCCTATAACGACAAAGGACCTTTGTGAGTACTACCTTCTAACTGTATTGCTGGACGTTAGGGAGATCTGGCGCAGCTGCGCCGGTGACCGGGATAAGCTCAACTACGGGAGCTAGGCTGATCTGGGACTAGTGCCAGGCTGCACCATACCTAGGTACTTGCGGCGCCAGCAATCGTGGAACGTACAAACAAAGCTCAGGCAGCTTTTGCTGCTTCTCTAGGGTACTAAGCTCACATTACACGCACCGCTTACATGTCAGCGGAGCTACCTAGAGGGACGAAAGAGGGCGAGTGGCTACCTAAGGAACTGTTTAAGCCTATGAAGACCGAGTGTGGGCGTTTAAATATCAATTGGGATGCGTGAGAGTTATGAGAGTTAGTATGGTTCTTCGAGGCATCACTGGCACGCTGTCTACCTTCCTTTGTTTCATTCTCGTACTCGGCCCATAAGCTTCATCTTCACACGCGAGGTGAGCATATGGGAAAGCCTCCTTGTTCCAACTTAGTTACAACATAGATCTTCAAAGTTACCGTTTTAATCAATGACCAGGGGATTATCCCTTTTCTCTCCTAAAATGAACAATGATTCGGAATCAAACCTGGAAGATCTGCTATCCTCTTAGCGGTATGCGTGATTTCACTTTGCCACTCTTGACCTTCCCCAAGCCTAGCATCAACATAGCCTCAGTCCGTTGGTAGCTGCAGCATCTCTGATTTGATCGATAGCTGCTGCAAGTCTTAAACTAATCTCACACCCTCTCCGGCACACCAATTCGATGCTGGAAATACCAGGAAAGCCAAACCGTTGATGCGAACTGGCACTCCCTCCCATCGTCTGGCGCATCTCTCAAAGTCTTCGCGAAAAAATTCCTTGGGTGGAACTCGCTGCAACGGTCGCACCACAGCATCCCAGGCAGATCCCAGCTTTTGTTCTCGAGCATCAGTCGAGAGGCGAAGACATCGCGCCTCATGCGTCGCCAGTATACCAGTAGAGCGGGTTGATCGAAATAACGTCGGCGTTGCAAAATTGCGGTATGCCTGCAAGTACGAACGAGCGTTAGGAGGTCGGCGGGAGGGAGGTACATGGCCACATGCTCGAGAAGCTCGTTAGGTAGACGGTATAGTGCAGAATCTCGATGATTGCGGTTCGCGATGCGAAGGTATTTCCTTTGTGTCCTGAGATTGTGCCACCACTTTATAGTCGCTTGCAGATACGAGTTATTTTCCTCCAAGCAGAAGTATCTTTCATCGCGCGATACGATAAGATTGCCGTGGGTCCGCGTTGTGGGTGTGACCCTGCCTGACGAGGTGATGGCCGCCCCTGTCGTGATGATGCTCATTGCCGCGAATGCAGCCACCTGCATTGTGTCGAGGCAGATAGTTTTGGGACGTTGATGTTATTTTCAAAAAGAGTTTTTAAGGATCTTGCGGTATGTCTGCCTTCTCATATAGTAGCATCAGATTATATCACTAGCCTGCTTACCGTCACGAGAGGTCTCGCTCGAGAATCCACATCTGTTTCCATGGTTGTGAGGTAGGTTGTGAGATGCCCAGTGGCGGCTCGTTGCTCGCTACCTAGGTACGCATCGTCGACGAACCGCTCCATAATTCTAAGTAGTGCGCGAGAATGTGCGAGCTGAGCACATTTGAGCTGCTATGATCGAGGCCAATGCGAGAGCTGGGATGCGTTATCGACGAAACGTGATCGTGACGTGGAAGATCCATGCCCGTGCGATCACAGCAAAAGCAGTAGTTCGTGGTACCGGCGCTACTGTCGCCGCACCCGAGCTCACGGTGTTCAACCCGCAGGGTCTTGCGCGCTGTGCGTCCATCACCAACACGCCGCTCGCCCGCTCGCCCGCTCGCGGTACGTGCGGCTTGAGCATCATCGCCGCATTTGCTTTCCCATCCTTTAGGTATTATCAAGGCCAACGCCATAAGAGTTTAGATCTACCGGCAAAGAGGCGAATTCTCGCGCATTCGACGTGTCAATCGCGCCCAGATGCCATTGTCGTCGGAAAACCATGTCACATCTCGGCCACAGCTCCTTGCCTCAGCGCCTACATACTGATCACTCGATCCCGCACTACATTCAGGGCATTCATCGTTCCGCTGTCCGCTCGGCTATCCACTGCTTCGCAAAGATGGTTTGAAGGCACCCGGTTTGCCTTTGCGCTAAGCCGAATCCTAGCTAGCGGCAAGGCTCCAACAAGCAAACCATGGGACTTACGGAGGACAGCTGGACAAGTTCAGCTTCTCGCAAACTGTTCTCTGCGACTTCAAAGGTCTGCTCATTATTGTGACCAAGAGAACGCGATCGAATCCTCACCTCACTCGACAAACCATGGGATCCGCGCTTTCCGCAATAGCATCGTCCAAGATTGTCGATCGATCCAGTTCGCCTCTAAATGCCAGAGATTCATTCCTTTTCTCTATCCACCAGCCACAGTATGATCCGGAGACTCTTGAGCAGTCACACCGCAATGTTCTCAACGCGGTGAACAACATACGCGACGTGGCGAACACGCCTCCAGAGGCGCACCCATCCTATTCACAACAAGAGCAATCAGCGGTAGAGCTCTGGAGACGCCAGGTTGGCGATCATGTCGATGCTCGCATAGCCGCATACCGTTGTCGCGAAACAGACACAGTGCAGACCGCGCACAAGCGGCGCACACATCACCGCTTTGAACACAAAGTAATTCAAATCCCTGAACTGCTTGATCTGATCCTCCACTTTGCCGGGCCCGAGGCTCAGGTCCGCTCGTTGGTCATATCGACAGCATGGGAGGCTTCTGCGCTCTCTGTTATAGGTAGCTGTAATAATAACGATGCGTTACCTTTTCTTTCAGCCTGTGTACCCATACAATATGGGCAGAGCATCGAAGATGACATCTTGGCGCCCGAAAGGCCCAGTGCTGAGCAAATTGAGCATTTCGACTTGCATGTCGCAAGCACGCTCAAGAGGCTGGCAGGAAGGAACCGGTCAAAATATGTCTACTTTCCAGCTCACTTCGCCCAGCTGCGCGACCTTCCAGAGACATCCGCTCAATCTCTCTCCCGCTTGGATCGCAGCCAAGCCAACCATAACTTCCATGACCCACCCCAACCAGTCTCTCGCAGCGCCGGCGTCTACTGGTTAGATCTCACTCAGCTCCAAATCAACCCCTACTTCTGCTTGTTGTTCTCGGAAGACAATCGCATCTTGCAGCGCTTAGGACGCTGGGAAATCAGCATACGCAGCTCTCCCACGTTCAACACTCTCTTGCTAGACTCGTCGGCCTCAACAAAGCTCTTCGTAAAGGCTATAGCATCTATGCAGGTCACGCACCCACCATGCCGGAGCCTAGGGATATATCAGTATAGCACAGATGGATTGACAGGATGGGGAACCCATGCGCTCATGAGGAGACTACGACGGGACGATGGAATCCGCGTCGATGACCTCCTAGACGCATTACACAGTCTCGCACCCGAAATGCTGTCTACATGGGTCCAGAATGCAGAGCAACTTCGCGACGACATCAAGGGCGCGCACTGGATAGATGACCATTGGAAGATACCTGGAACGCCAAGATTTCGCATCCACCTAGATCACTCAGATATGCTCGACGAGCCTTCACCGGCAATGCCGAGGGATGTGGAGGAAGATGTGGGAGCCGTACTGGGCTATGCAGCTCACATCACTCGGACAGCTTACATGGCTGCAGAGCCATTCAGAGGGTCGAGAGAGAGGGAATGGGTTCCAGAGAAGCTATTTGAGCCCATGAAGAGCGAGACAAACCGGTATCCAATTAATTGGAACATTTAGACTCAGGGCCTCGCACTCGCATATTTGAGCGACGTTCTCAAGAAACAATGCGGAGTTGGGCTACAACTTCATTATTTCCTCTCTTGGTTCTAGGTCTCCAGAACGATGCCATGTATTTGCATACGTTGAAAGAGCTTATTGTCTTCTTCCGCCATCCTGTAATATCATCATCTAGCTAGACTCGCTGGGGAACTGTCACCATATCAAAGTATGATAGTAATGAATACCCGGTCGCGCGCATCTTCTCTTTCATACCTGTCTCGCGAAGAACTACCACTCTGGATTCGTAGGCGCAACGGCGATGCAGATCAGATCCAAAACGTTTTAAGGCACGATGACAAGTCATTTCCTTTGGGGATTGAGGATGTATTGCTACTCACCACCCAATCCTTCTACCCAACCATCACCCTTACACTCGCAACATCACGCGTCGCGCTCCAGCATTATCATTACCCGACCATCATTCGCATACCAACAATCAGCCAATCCCAACTCACAAGTCCCTCGTCACCGCAACTCCAATAACTCATACCAACCGCAACCCCCGTCAAAACCACACCTCAGTCGACCAACTCGGCACCGCAGCCTTGGTCACATGCTTCTGCACCGGTCTCACAGCAACCCGCGGGTTCAACACCCGCCGATCAATCGTACCATCAGTCATTGCAGCCCCTTCCATATCCTCTGACGCAGACTTAGGCAGCAAAAGCGTTTTAATCCGCGAAAATAGCGACGGCTGTGGCGATTCTGGGCCGTGCTCTCCTTCTATCTTTGGCGACAGGTCATGTGGTGCCGGGCCATTACTCGGAGGCGTGCGCAGGGGTGAGCGAGAGGAAGGGATGGCCGTTGACCCAGGAGTCAGGGCCGGAGATGGTGTTGGCTCAGGTACAGGTAGTGTCGCATGTGGTGGTGGGGGCGTGGGTGGACTGATTGGCGGTGTTGGGGTGGAGGATTGTAAGGGCGGCGGGTTGGTTGGCGGCACGGACACCGAGGACGAGAGTTGGGGACGCGCCACAATGCTTGTGTTGGGAGGGAGAAGCGAGCTTCCTGTAGGTGGGATGGCTGGGACGCGCGGTGATAGGCTTGCATCTTGCGACGGGGAGAGTGATCGCTGCACGGGCGCGGTAGAAGTTTCCTCTTCTGCGGTTGGCATTGGTGCTGGCTTGGTTGACACAGCCGCTTCTCTATCTCTGAGATCATCGCTTGGTCTAGGGCTTACTTCTGGTATCGACTCCATGTGTGTTATTTGCCGACCGAGAATAGTTGACGTTGGCGTCGGCGTTGGATCATCATCAATTACTTGCTCAACAACGATTGGACCGTTTTCATCATCATCCGGAAAAGGTCCATCGTAGACTTTACGTCGTCTGAAGCAACGACAGCAGCACAGCATTGAAAGTAAACCTCTGTATATATTCATTCAGTAAAAGGTAGGTTTGAGAAGAGAAAGCGCGGCCGTAGCTATAAGGTGATGTTTGTGAAGAGAAATTGCGCGAATGAGTGTGCAAGGCGGTCTATATGACAGATATGGGAAGAGTGCTATGCACTCACAGGAACAGGGCTACCGCTGCAGCGAGACCACCAATGAGCCCATTCCTGATGCTGCTGTCCTTTTCGCGAGCATCAGCTTCAGACAATATATCGCCTGGGGTTTGACGGCGCGAACGGCTGAAAGGGAGATTGAATCGGAGTGCCGATGCTCCGGAGGTCTGCTTAACCTTCTGGTCGCCGGTAGCGGTGTACACTCCAGTCATGGGCATCGAGTTCGTTGCAGTGGGCTGTGGTTCGGATTCACCCGCGGTCGTCGGCACGTCCTCCTCGGATGGATACCAGATGCCTGCCTTCACGGTACCATTGCCCGCGATGATAGCTGCGTTTTCCTCCTCCGTGCAGGCAAGGATTGCTTGACGAATCCAGCAGATGGATGGAGGGCTCTCTCCTGGGTCATTTCTGTGCTCAGAGGTGCTAGGGCCTTCTGTACTGAAGCTGGACAGGTCGACGTCGCGACCGGTGCTGATATCGTCGCCATGAATGATGCGACTGAAGACGGTAAATGCGGTTTCTGGCTGAAATTTCGGGACGTAGTGACCGGAGTCGTATATCCGAGAAAAGGACAGGTTGCCATATTGACGGACAGCGCCGCCAACGTAAGCCTCGTTCACCTGAATGTCCGCATATCCAGCCTCTTTGAAAGTCGTCTCGTAGCCTGGCACACGACTGGCAATCTCGAGAGAGTTGTTCTGTCCTCCATACCAGTTGCATATGATGTCCGCGTCACCGTAGATGAGGCCGACTTTGATGCCGCGGGCGAGCAGGTCAGCCACGGCCTCCAATGCGCCTCCGCGGGCAGAGTCTCCGTCTAGATATATGGTTAGCAAGGTAGATCGTATAGAATCGAGGATAGGGCATGATCTCATACTGTAGCTGAAAGCATCCAAAACCATGTCATTCGTAGAAGTGAAGTTGACTGGAGCACCCACGGATTGCATAATGTGTTCTTCGTTAAGGTACGTCTCAAGCGCGTCACTAGGGCCAACGGTTGGGAGAGCTCGGATGTCGTAGATACTTCTACCTGGAAGATAGGCAGGGCCAACGTTTGTTTGGCATGTTAAGAGCGCACTTATGCAGATGTCGTTCACTTCCTGGACGGTACCCAAACCTTGGGGATCATTGGCAGCAGCCGCAGCAGCACACTGGTCAACCAAATCTACACAACCCCCTTCTGTGTAGACCTCTGATATCGCGTTTTGATAGGTTGTGAGATCATAGCCTTCGATGCCGTAGGTATTGTTGTATGCGAAGAGCAAGCCCGAGGTTGTTGAAGTCCTGACATCCATTATACCGTTGACGATGCCCACTGAACCAACGCGTATCTCCAGCGTTTCAGCCGGAAGATCGCCTTTCTTTCGACGATCATTCTGCTCTTCGTAATGATCTGCGAAGACGGGACCATAAATACCCCCGTAGCTCTCAGCGAACAGGTTTATCTCAGAGGGGTTGACGGTGTCGCTGTCGGATCGAACACCAGGATTGTACTGGGGAAAGGCTGACAAGAAGCCTTGGAGGAAGTGCCATGAGGAATCCGCGGCAATGACCGTCAAGTTCTCGGTTTTCCTAGAGCTGGCAGAGGGGAAAGTGCCGTTCTTGAAGCGCCATTCCGGGACGTCGGCGGGAAGCGGAGATGGTTCTAGACGCTGGTCTAGATCTGCCCAATAGCCTGTGCTGAAGTCGACCGAAACATTGACGCGCTCATCGTATGAGAAGCCGACCTGCGTAGGTTGGTCGATGAAGAGTATGTTGGAGCTGCGGTCCCATCCCCAAACCCTAGGCTGAGAGACGTAACTGCCGTTTGGCCCTTCTACCAGCTCACATGGACCCAGTTCTGAGAAGAGACCAATCATGCTCGAACTTCCAGGTCCTCCACTCAGCCAGATGGTCAATGGCGCAGTTTCCGGATTCTCACGTGCTTCGAAGAACCAGAAGAAGGTGTTGATCGGGTAGTTTTGCTCGGCCGGCGACAGTGTGAACGGGGGAATGTTGACATATCCAGTATACTGCTTCTGTGTCTCAAACGCCGTTGCGCATACGTGGGCCTCGGGTGATTTGTAGGATATGGTGATGCGCGGGTCCGCAGGCGATTGGATAACGGTATCGTAGGTTACAGGTAGTGGATACTGCTGGGCGATTGAGGACCCAGCGTGGAGAGCAGACATGAGAACGATGGCAAGTAGTTGGATCTAATGACCGTCAGTGATTGGTCGATTTGCGCAGAGCAGTGTGCCTACCATGTTGGCGGGAACCGGTGTAGCGGAAAGCTATCGCGCATGAGAATGAGGATAAGAAGCCTGATAAGGTAGAGCAGGCGGCCGAATTGTTACAGTCAAGCGATGCGCAGTGCCGCGTCTTTGGTCCCGTGTTGAGGAAGTGAAAAGACGACGGTCGTTCAGAGGCAACCGCGTGTAGTGCCTAGTGGTATTTGTAAGGCGCCTTCCTTCACTTCGGACAAGCGAAGGGATGCGCGAAACGGGCAGTCCCTCGCTCACTGCAGAGCAGCGGCGAAGAGAGCGTTGCGCGGGTGTACACGCCACGAGGACTAGCGAGCGTTTGTACTACAATACTACGCGATGATGTAAACGGCAGGGAAAGGGAAATCCAGTTCGGTATCACAATAGTCGTGCACAATCACTCACAATAATGCAGCTGTACCCTTCCAATACACACTGCATTCTGTTGCTCGCCGAAGCATCTGTCCTGTCGCGCACCACTCTGCCTCATCATCACAGCGCGTTGTGTAAGACATCTCAGCCACCTTGTGCTATTTACGCGCTACGCCGCGTGCTAGAGGCTTGTAGGAACGTGTCTAGGAAATTATACTTGCCGTACCCTAGTGTCGGGTGCATACAGCCTAAATGCCGACAAGGGCTTGCATGGTCATGGATCCGGCCGCCAGCCACCCTTACGTTTGGGTCGACATCCAAGGCGCGTAAACCGGCTGTGTTGTGAAGCCATGTAGTCAACTGTTCAGAGCCGCGTTGGCCAGTTGTATCCTTCTGCCGTGGCCCCCATATATCCACGCAACCGCGTCGGCCATGTCGTTGTGGTACGGTATCCATCCTGCGTAGTGTGAGCTGAGGACTTGCAGGAGTTGGAATGAGACTTACCTTCGGGGGCAAAGCCGCCTGGCTCTTTGCCCTTCAGTTCCTCCCAGGTCTTCTTCCCGGCCAATCCTAGCTGTACAGCTCTTGATCTCTTGCCTCTCTTTGCTATGAGTCTCACTTCACCTTTCATATCCTGGTCCGGCCCTGCGACTCTCCAATTCTCGTTAACTTCGTGCCCTGGCTTCGCTGCCCACGGCTGCATAGTGCGCCCATCTTCGGTCTTCTCATCACCAGTTGCCGTCTGCTGCGCATACGGAACGATGTACATCTTGACCTCTGCGCCGAACTCCTCTCCATCCCGTTCCTTGAGGAGCGCATCCCAGTTCTCAGGTTGTGCCGATCGTTTGCGCCGATGGTCGTAGCCGGACGCGATGAAATCGGTACACGGGGTGATGTAGGTCAGTTCCTTCCAAGCATCGCTGTTCAAGAGTGTCTCGATATCGAAGTAGGTTGTGACGTCTCGCCAACCGTCGCCCATGCCGAAACCGTGCCAGCAATCTTCGACGACCAGTGTATCTAGACAGAGACCGGGAAGTAGTGTGAGCGCATTCGCTGCATAATAGGTCGGGTAGTACTGTGAGCTTCCGGAGGAGTACAACGGGAAGGGATACGCGCGCACTCGGGCATGGCGCAGACGCGTAAGTACACTCTGATCGACGGAGAGGAGCGTCTCGAGTAGATTCTCTGTACCGCGAAAGTGAAGTGTGCAATTGAGCGGGAGATGGCGGTGCGCCTCGGCGAAGATCTGGCGACAACTAAGCAGGAGCGCTATGCGATTAGAAGACTCAGAGTCGTCGCTAGGTGTGCTAGCGTGCTTGAAGCCATGTCGGATAGTGTAGCTGCTGAAGAGGAAGCCATAGATGAGTTCGCGCAACTCAACAGGTATCGTCAGAAGGTTTGGGGCGCTCATGGTGTCGATATTGCTGTCGCGCCGCGATGGTTTCAAGGGCAGGAACGTGCGATTCCCTGCTTTTAAGGGAACCAAGCGATACTAAAGAAGCTGCTATTGATAAGGAGTAGTCTATCCCAGAAGTTGGTTGCCGGACCCAAACAAGTGGTCGTGCTGCGTAAGCGGTGCAACTGGCCGATAAGCAAGATCAGGTTACATGGGAACGATCTGACGGCAGCTGTCAGTCCAGCCCAATCCTGCGGAACGCGCGGATTATAAGTCATGTTCAGCTCACATCCCGGCTGGAGCTCCCTGCCAGCGGTGGTTCTTCCGAGGGTGAGATGACGTTTGAAGCTGTTCGGCGCACTAGGCAATGGGCTAGTGCGCGCCTGAAGTGTCGCATGCGCGGTCGCAAACCACGAACGGTCAGGGTTTGGGCGAGCGATTAGCTGCGCATATGTACACGTGCCACGATAGCGCAAGATCGACATGTATTACAAGATATGGTTTGCTGTGGAAAGCCTACGGCTAGACGAATGGAATGCTCTGTTCTGGGTATCTTCGATGCTCGCTCAAGTTCAGATCTGCCTGCTTCTATGGTCCGCGAGGACTTTGCGCCATATACTATAGCCAACGCCCTCAGTCTGACTTGGACCGCCCACGCGTCCGTTGTTGTTCCTCTTGCAGCTTCTTCTGCTGCCACTGCCATTCTACCAGCACGGGTAGAAACTGCCACAGATCAAACTCGGGCCACAGACACTTCAGGAAAACGATAGACGTGTTCTCGTGGGCTTGCCATAGCATAAAATCGCTCAGCCGCTCGACGCCAGAGGTGCGAACTAGCAGGTCAAGAGGCGGGGCATCAGCCGTCATCATGTTATCGTTCAAAGTCTGAGCGCTGATGGACTCTGGGTCCAGAAACGTCGGCCCGTTATTCGAGTCATCCTTCTCAGGCGAGTTGATGGCGGTCGAGGTTGACGAGGAACGCCCGTCTTCAGCCAGAGCCGCCTCTTTCGAGGGTGACGCTGGCCGCGAATCAGCCTGCTCGGCAAGGCCCTCTGTATCCTCCTCCAACATTTGCTTGCGAATATGCTGGGTGATGTGGGACTCGGAAAAGGTTCGCTTCGAAGGAGTGGGCAGGTTGTGTATCGGCGTGCCGTACGTCTCGACAGTCTTCATGACTGCGGTCGTGATTTCGTGTCGCGAAGTATAGGGGAAGCAGACGTTGAGGACAGCCCTGCGGATGGTCAGCGATGTCACATAATGGTCGGCGGGCAGCGCACTTCTTGTTGTGTGCTGTCATTGCAACAGCCTTGTCCACGGCCATTTGTACATCGGGACTGAGGAGCTCGCGCTCTCCCAGCACCCGGATGGATGCGCCGTAACGATCCAGCAAGGCTCCGTGCTCTGCCATTTGTTGCAGCTTCACCTTGGCCATGGACATGAGGGCATCGACTTCATGCTTGGAGCGCTTGAAGTTCTCTATGCTGAATGCGTAGATGGTGACGACCTTGACGCCAGTCTTGTAGCAGACTTCGAGGATCTGAGCTGGTTAGCATGGCTCAAAAACACTGATAACAGTCTCCCATACCCTCGCTAACGATTCGAATCCAAGGTTGTGCCCTTCTACCGTCTCAATGTGGTGGTTGCGCGCAAACCGGCGGTTGCCGTCCATTACGAACGCAACATGTTGCGGGATGGGGCCCTGCTTTAGTGACCCGATAAGAAGCTCTCGCAGCTGTCTGACTGTCCAAGCGACGGGCGGCGAGGTCGCAAACCACTTGTGTATGCGTGAATCGTGGAGGGAGCCCATGGTGAATATTGTTGAGGTACTCGGCGTAGGGCGTAGGGGCGTCGGAATTTCGAGGAGGATACAACGTCGTGTTTTATAGATGGGTGAGAAGTCGGATGGATGAGACTATGCTACGGGAGTCAGGGTATCATGGTGTAAAAGGATTGATGCCAATGCTAGACGCTACGTATGACTTCAAGGCGCAGCGATGGTCTGGGAGTCGCGTCACTTTGGGGCCCTGCGGCGGTGTGGCTGGGCTGACTGCGTTAGGCGTGGCGCACCCGTCGCTTCCGATTCTCGAATCTCTTTGCCGGCAGCCGACCTTCCGACCATCTTTCTTCTTCTTCACCGACGCAAGCCTCACTTGCCGCGTCATCAACACTGCGCTCATCGCCCTGCTGTAGCATTCCACCCATCTCTCTACTAACATACATCATCGCCATGGCTGAACAGCCTCAGAGTAACGTGACGGAGCTCGCCGAGCAGCTCGTTGAAGGCTTTGCAGCTCTGAGTGGAGAATACCAGGTTTTGTTTGATTCACAGAAACAACTCGAAAGCAAGCTCTCGTGGGCTAAGCAACAGGTACGCCATGTCCTTTTACGCCCCTTCCTCTTATGATGAACAACTTTAGCTCTAGACCTGAAGCTGCACTCGCAGCTCTGATCGAAAACAATCACAGCTTAGCCTGACCTGGATACATATTCTGCATTTCAGCATACAATACCTTTGACGTACACTGCTGACCATACCCAGTATCTTGACATCCTGAAGCGCTTCTCGCCGAACACGTTGTCGCAAGACCACCTTACCTTCCTGCAAGATCTTGAGCGCGTAGGAGACGAACAACCGCGGACACATGTGAATTTGGTGGAGCAGTTGGCACATAGCGATGATGTAGAGCGCAAGAGCCGAGCACTGGTCATCCAGAAGGCTGAGGAGGCTGCTGTCAAGCTGCACGCCCATGAGAATACTAGCAGTGTAAAAATATGGAGTGGTCCGTCCGCAGACAAATCCGCCTCGTTACCTGAGATACAGACCAATAGAGCCACATCACCCATTGAGAAAGACTTCACTGTTGCTGGAACTCCTAGTAAGCTCGCCTGTCCCTTCGCTTCTGGCAGCGGCAGAGGCAGCCCGCTCGCTACCCCACGTAGCTCAACGTCCCGGTTAAGCGCACGTGGCCGAAGATCGAAACGACCCTCCTTTACCGATCCTATTCGAGCCGAAATATGCAGCAACAATCCTGCTGCTTCCGCAACTGCCTCAGTCGCGGCGTCTGGCTCCGCTGCCGTCTGCCCCATACGCTTCCTCGACCAACACAACCCAGAGGAGGTGGCCCAATACTTTGAGAAACACAAGCATGAGCTACCGAGAAGCCATGAAGTCTGCATCAAGCGCTTCCAGAGTAACCAAGAGAGCATAGAGCAGCTAGATCGCAAGTATGGCAATCTGGTTAATATGATCCAGGGCCTCGGTCAGAAACATCAGGAGTGGCTCCCTGAGGATCCCGACGACGCCATCGAAGAAGAGCCCGAGGCTGAAGCCCACTTCAGCACTGACGCAAAGGCGGACACCAAAGTTCAAAATTGGGCCTCAGCTGTCTCGGCAAGTCTCAACGATGGCACCCCACCGCCTGAAGAGGAACCAGAAGAAAACACATTGGACGAGTCGAGAAGCGGTCACTTTGACCGCCCGCTCAAAGAAGTCAGAGTTGGCGAATCTCCAAGTCGGCCCTGGGGCATCTCGATACCAGCCAAATACACCAATGCACACAGCTCATCCTCGGTTGGCTCAGTACCAACAGCGTCGCCGCAACTACCCCTCGAGACTGGCCGTCCAATCGGCGAGACGCCCCAAAAGACTGGCAAATGCCCATTCGATCATCGCGCGATGATGGGACAGACGCCGCAGCAGCCTGAAGTGCCACAATACACTATGCCACCGCAGTCGCAACCTCGGGCCCCAACCACACATGTTCCACCGACAGAAACCCCACCGCAGCCCCGAGCTCCTGAACCATCACAACCACCGAGAGAGACGGAAAGCCCGAAAATGGTACCGCAGATGGTTTTCAACGGGCCTGTATTCTTGGGCTACCCGCCCGAGCAGTTGGCTATACTATTGCAAAACAGCAATCTGGGTGCGTCACTGCGGTAGACATGGAACACTCACTGTACATGTTCTCGCTGGCTGTGTGCTTGTAGGTATGGTATTGTACTCAGAAGGTAGGCTCGAACAGCTGCTTCTTTCACAACTACGCCTCGCCTCGTCTTTTGGTATCGTCGTGCTTCTTGTCATGCGCTCGTCATTGCTTACTACGCTGTGCCTTCGTCCATCTTTCAAAGCTCCTGCGCGTCGATCTTCTACCTCTCCTGGCCGACCCTATGGCACTCATCTTCTGCGATCCGGCTACCGTGCTCATTTCTTCTTCAGATCTGCCATCCACGTCCGTACGCCCTTTGCGCTATCGTGTGCCGCACGAAATACTGCATCGTCGTTAGCTCCTGCATGGCTGAATTTCTCAACACCTACGTTGCCGCTCGTTCTCATCTAGGCCTCGCATGAAGTCGGCGCCTTCCCCTAATGCACCTCGTGGATTATGAGCTTGATCAGCTATGAGGGCAGCCCTGGCCTTGAATGTCTACACGGGTTAGCATATACCGTTGCATCGACCAAACACAGAACTCACATCGCTCAGTACCTCAATCATCTCTTCCTCCTCAAAGAGCTCCAAGATTCGTGCGCCGAGATTGTAGAAGTGCGGGGCGAGAGCTCGCAAATCGACGGTCCGTGGGTCGGCTTTGAGGGCGTTCAGGACGCGCGGAGATAAGGCGGATGGAGGATCGATGGTCACGAGCGAGGATGTATTTAGACTTTGACTGTAGATATTGTGAATACGGAATGTACATATGATTAGAATCTTCATTTACCTCAGTGCAAGCATCT